GCCTTCATGCCAGAAGAGGAAACCCCATTACATATGGTTGTGAGCCACCATGTGGTTGCTGGGAATTGAACTCAGGACCTTTGGAAGAGCAGGCAATGCTCTTAACCTCTGAGCCATCTCTCCAGCCCTACACTGTGGTTTTTGACTAATCTCAACTGTTCAATTTTACAGCTATAGGCTTGGGAACCAGATGCCGGGGTGAATATCTGCTAGTTTAGAGAGGAAGATTGGGCACCCAGTTGACCCTCCTCCCTGATGTCCTGGAAAAAAGACCTTTCTCCTGTGTCATCTCAAACCAAACTCCTCAAACTAAATGTCCCACCTGTCTACCTCTTGTATGCCTCTCTATCCTCCTGACTCCCCCTTACTCTTTATAGTTTTTTTTTCCTGTCAACTGATTGGTTGTTCTGCCTCTTGACCTACGGGATTGGCTTCATTTACTCCTGTTTACAACATTCAAGTAGAAAGCTCTTGGATTAAAGGTATGTGCTAGGGCTGAGCCATACCGCAGTTAGAAACAGGTTTTTTTCAGTAAATAACTAGTCTTGGGGTTCTCAGTGTCATGAAATATCCTACAACTCTACGTAGTGAGTTCAAGGCTAGCCAGGGCAACACAGTGAGACTCCATCTAAAAAAAAAAATCCTGTTGAGTTCCTAGTACACTCCTCCTGCCTCATCAAGAAAGAAAAATTAAGCCAGGGGGGTGGTGGTGCACGCCTTTAATCCCAGCACTCGGGATGCAGAGGCAGGCAGATCTTTGTGAGTTTGAGTAAACCTTGTCTCAAAAAAACAAAAAAAAAAAATTAAAAAAAGAGAGGCAAAATATACTCGTCTTGGAAACCGCATAATAGGAATACAGCATTGCTTTTACAACTTATCTACAAGAGAAATCATAGCAAAACAACAGCAAAAACAAGAATGGGAGACCAGGGACTTAGCCAGAACTCTGCACTCTGCCGAGTTCCTGCAAGCAAAGAGATACAAAGATGTATGTATGTGTCCACATCAGGTCCTGTCGCCATCTCTGACCTCGTCCTTCCCATGTTCTCTGATAAACACATCTGAAGTTCATGCCCACTGTGTAGTGTTCTGTTTGGGCCATTTCAAAGGGAATAGCGGTTATTATGACCACATGAACGTATTTATTTTATGATAACGGAGACCTCTCTGTCCTGGATAGGGCCTGTAACGGGGAGCGCCTATCCCCGTTTGTAATCAGAATGTGTAAACTTGCAAAACATTCTCAACAGGAAATAGATTGAAGAAGATTGCAGCTGCAGGATGAGGAAAGGAAACAGTACAAGCTGTACAAGGTTTGCCAACCTGGGAGAACAAGTGTTTCTTTGGCTGGTCCTCTCCCATGGTTTAGCTCTTGACTCTGCCCGCTCTTGAGCTCTGTGTTGTATTGATGCCATCTAGAGTCGCGGGAACAGGTTCGTCTTCTGTCAGTAGAACTAAAGGACAGGAAAGGACCTTTACTGAAACCTTGGGGAACCCCGCAGAGCTGTCATAGAATACCTGAGAAATCAGGGACCTTTCTTGAGGTCCTTAGTTTCACTAGTAAAATAAGTTACCTTTCTTGAGGTCCTTAGTTTTGTTAGTAAAATAATTTAAGAATGGACACAAACAGAAGCGTGGGGACAATTTATTAGGTTTAAAAGGAAAACTCCAGGCAAACTCCTAAGCCTGCAATGGGAGGAGGAGAATGGAGAAGAGAAGGAACAAACCCCAGTTGGCCTGAGATAAGGCCTCCTGAAGGTCGGTCACACAGAGGCACACAGCTCCGAGCCCTGGAGGGAAGCTTTGTAAAAGATAAGGAAGCTTGAAGAATTAGTTATGGAGTCTGAAAAACATCCTCCGGTCAGCATCTGAAAGAAAAAGACTAGAAGAAATAGGTCTAAGAAAGGCAGGCTGACTTGGAGGACAATGCTAGGGGCTGGGAATTCAGAACAGGAAAAGCAAAATATCTTAAGATGAACTCAACCTTCCTAGGGGTCAGCTAAGCAAGTCCTCACTTGCCCCATTGGATTAACCCTTTAAGGAGGAGACAAGGGCATGTCTCCACCTAGAGGTCGGTTCCATCCTCTATACGCGTCTGCATTGCAGTAAACATTTCTACCAGAAAGCAGAGCTAGCTAGTGTCCTAATTCTGAATGTATTTTTTAAGTACTTTAGAGCAGAGGCTGAAAAGCTAGTGTTAAACACATTGTTGCTCTAGAACAAGATCCTAGAAACTTAACCCAGGAGAAAGATTTAAAAGGTATGGAAATAACTACCATTGTTTTGACTTAAAAAAAAACAATGCAGTGTTTGGGGATGTAGCTCAGTTGGCAGAGTACTTGCCTAGCACACACACACAAAGCGTGTGTCTGATCCCCAGAACTGCTTGTGTAGCACAGACGCACAAGGCATGTGTTTGATCCCCAGAACTACATAAACCAGGTGTGATGAGGAGACACAGTAGTATCTGGTCATCTTTGGCTACAGGGTGAGTGTGAGGCCAGCCTGGGTTATTTGGTGGCAAAAGCCTGGAATCCCATCAACCACGAGACAGAAGCCGGGAGCTGACACAAGCTTGAGGTCAGCTCGGTCTAGAGTCATGGCTCCTCCTCCCCCTTCCACTTCCCTGCTGGATCAGAGGTCGCTGTGCAGGGGAGCAGCCACGTCTTTCCTGCTGCAGTTCTTGGCAGACGGCTCAGCCGCATTTGTTGCCTCTTCTGCTGCAGCACAGGTCAGACAGCTGCCCTCACGGCCCACTTAGAAGCCGATCCTATGTGTACTCCTTTCAGGGACTGTAACATATTCTCCAGTCCCTCAGTCAGTTAGGAGATGGTCCTGGACTTGCGTGTGACTGTGTACAGTGCGTGTGAGCTCAGATGTGATCGAGGACGAATGTTCAAGCGACTGGTTGCAGTTCTGGAGTGACAAAGGATGGGACAAATAACTTCGGGCTAAAGATGCCACTGAAGGGCACTTCGAATGCAAGACGTGTCCAACGAGAGCTTGTTCGCTTTTAAAAGAGAAGAAATATATATTCAAGCCCTTGGACCACATTTTATGTTATTTGGGTTGGTTGATAACTCATCAGGTAAAAGTTGTCTGCAGTTATAATTTTTTGATTCATAGAATCAGCAAAGTGGAAGGAAAGAACTGACTCCCCAAAGTTATCCTGGCTTCCACACCCATGCCATGGCATGTGGTCCCCGACCCCCAAACACACAAAGTGTTTTTGAAATGGAGATTTACTGTGTAGTTCTTACTGGTTTACATCTTGCTTTGTGGACTGGGCTGGCCTTGAACTCACAAAGAACCACTGGCCTTCTGAGTACTGGCACTAAGGGTTTGTGTTACTTAGGTTGAAGCAACATTTGCAGCAGCTCCTTGTTCACAGCAGCCACGAGGTGGAAGGAACTCAAATATCTAAGATTCAAGAAAATGTGCTGTTGAACTGGCCCTGGTACAAAGCCTGTCTGTAATCTCAACGCTTTGGGACTGTTTGAGGATAGCCTGGAGTTAACTACATAGCCTGGGCTATACAGGTTTGGGGAGACCCTGTCCTCCCAAACAAATCCCTTGTCCCACAAAAGCAGATGTGGTATGTAATCCAATGACATCTTATTCAGCATCAAAATAGAAAGGAATCCTTTCTGGCAAACCTTGAAGGTATTATTTTCAGTGAAATAAAGTAGTCACAAAAACAAGTGGCTTATGGTTCTGTTTCTATGAAAAGAGACACAGAAAATGGGTGCCAGGGGTAAGAAGAAAGGAGGATGATCCTCTTCCTCCTCCTCCTCTTCCTCCTCCTTTATTTTATTTATTTTTTTTTAAGATTTGTTTATTTATTATGTATGCAGTGTTTTTGTTTGTCTGTATGCTTGCTGGTCAGAAGAGGGCACCAGATCTCATTACAGATGGCCGTGAGCCACCATGTGGTTGCTGGGAATTGAACTCAGGACCTCTGGAAGAGCAGTCAGTGCTCTTAACCTCCGAGCCATCTCTCCAGCCCTCCTCCTTTATTTTTTGAGACAGGGTTTCTCTGTGTAACTGCCCTGGCTGTCCCGGAACTTGCTCTTTAGACCAGGTTAGCCTCGAACTCACAGAGATCCACCTGCTTCTGCCTCAGGAGTGCTGGGATTAAAGGCGTGCACCACCAGTTTCAGCTTTCTTAAACATTGTTTTGGTGCTGGAGACCAACCTCAGGGTCCCCCTTCATATTTTATCATTTAACGATCACCTGGAACAATCTTGTAGGAAGTCGAGACGGAAAATGTTCGAAAGGTTTGATGCATGGCAAATGTAAAAATTGTACTTGAGATGCTGAATTTTGTGTTTGCAATTCTATAGTAAATTTAGCTGGGTCTGCTAGTCCAGGTCTGTAATCTAAGCTATTTAGGAGGCTGAGTGGCATAGGGAGGCCTTGATTACCAGATCTGCGCTGGTAGATTTTAAGTACACAGGAACTGAAGCGGGAAAATGGTTAGTTTGACACCAACCTAGGCCAGGATGACAAAATTATAAATATATATAGTTTAAGAACAGAATAGAGAAGCTGGGCGTGGTGTCTCCCACCTATAATTCTGGCCTTTGGGAGTCTAAAGCGGGATTGCCGCAAACTCAAGACCACAGAAACCTGCTCCCCAAACAACAAAAATAGAAAAACAAAGGCCTCACACTAAGCTGTTCAGTTTGAGTTTGTTTGGCTAAACCAAGCGGCTGAGTCTTTACCAACAATAACAAGAAAGACTGTTTTTGCCAGACCCCCTCGGTGGGGGCGGACCAGGCCCAACGCGTGCTTCCGCGCGCTCCGCCCACGCTGTCTTCCCCTCCCCCCCCCCCCCCCCGCTTCCGGTCCCCCGCTGCCCACGCTTCAGCCCCGCCTCCTGCACGAGGTCTCGCCCCGCTCCTCCCACTGTCCCCGCCCAACGACCGATTTCCGCCAATTGCCGCCTTGGCTCCGCCTCTCGCCCCGCCCCGCGACCCGCGCCTTTCTCTATCCGGGTTTATTTCTCTCGTGCTGTCTTGCAAGCATGGAGGTGCACGGTGAGCGCGTATCCGGTCCTACAGCTTCGTCGTCTTCTGGGGACCGCTCGCAGGTCACGGTGTCCAGGGAGCTGCTGACCGCGGGGAGCGCGGGTTCGGGAGGTGAGCGGCGGCGGAGGGACGGCTGGGCTGGCGGAGCCGGGGATTCAGCGGGGCCCGGGACGCTCCGAAGGGTGGGTTACTGCGGAGCCCGGGGGACCGGAGATGCCTGAGAGACTGGGGCGCTCCGAGGGACCGAGAATTCTCCGGGAGGCGGGGATGCTGCGGAGCCAGGTACGCTCCGGAGGGCGGGGTACTGCGGAGCCCGGGGAACCGGGGCCCGGGATGCCTAGGAGCCCGGTACGCTGTGGGGCCGGCAATGCCTAGGAGACTGGGGCGCTCCGGCGGCCCGGGAATGCTTCGGGGGGGTGGGGAGGCGGGAATGCTGCGAAGCCCGGGACGCTCCGGAGGCCGTGTTACTGCGGAGCCCACGGCTCCGGGGCCAGGGATGCTTAGGAGGCCGGGGCGCTCCGGGGGACCGGGAATGCTTCGGGAGGAGGGGATGCTGCGCAGCACTGGATGCTGAGGTGCCCTGGGGATACTGTGGAGCCCGGGACAGTGAAGCGGGGGCGGGCATGCTGAGGCTCACGGAGCGCTCTGGGAGACCGGGAATACTGTGGAGCCCTGGATGTTGGGGGGCGGGGATGCTGAGGAGCCCGGGATGCTCCGGGGGCGGGGGCACTTCGTAGGGAGGGGATGCCAGGGTGAGCGGAACACTGTTGGGGGTCGCGGGGGTTGGGCCGGGCAGTTCTTAGGGAATGCTACAGGGCTAGCTTGGCCAAGATGGTAGGTACCATTTTTTTTTTTTTTGATTTTTTTGAGCCAGGGTTTCTCTGTAGTTTTTGGTGCCTGTCCTGGAACTAGCTCTTGTAGACCAGGCTGGGTAGGTACCATTTTTAATAACATTTGTGTTAGGCACGCCCTCCTCATTGTCACCTTGGTGGAGGGAGATGTGTGTGCGGAAAATCCACTCAGCATTTCAGATGATAGTGTGGTACAGAAGAGAAAAGCATGGGCTCAGCCAGGCGTGGGGGCTCACGCCAAAAACCAGCATTTGCGAGCGAGAGGCAGGCGGAGGGAGACAGAATGGAAATTGTAGGTTCAAATCCCTGCTCCGCCATGGGACTGTTAGAAAGTAGTCTTCTCTAGGCCTCCGTTTTCACATTTTGATTCAAACAGATGGGGCTACCCGTAGAATTTTAACGAACGCATAAAAGTTCTTGTGTCCGCGTATTAAGCACCGTGGGAACCATTTGAGAACGAAATGTATCTGAGGGGGTTGCACTACTGATTGCCAAAGTAGTGAGTGTGTAGTGAGTGGTAGTGTCAGAAATAAACAAGCTCAAGCCTCCCTGCATCCCCGAAGCCTGCGGAAGTATCCTGAGGACCCCGTTTTACGAAGAAAAAAAACAAACAAAAAAACTGCGTGGTGGTAGACACTGGCGGGGAACAGCAGAGCTGGATATTGTCCCCCCAGCTCTGGCTTAGCTCCGAACGTAACGATAATCAAAGCACTAGGCTTTAAGGAGCATTCGAAGTCTCTAAGGTCATCTCTACATTGAGAGTGACGGGATTTTTGATTTAGAAAGTAAAGAGATTTTTTTTTCTGTCCGTGAAAAGGCTTGAGCGGTCAGTGTATGGGCTGGACAATTGCTGGACAGTTGGTTTGTTTGGATTCTTTGGCATGGGTAAGCGGGAAAGGTGCAAGCGTGGACAAAATTCCCTCTTAGGGTATTTTTCGTTTAGATTAAATGCTTTCTAGCAGACAGGTATGTTCTGTAAAAGAAACCTGTTTAGTGTTGCTCATTTATTTGCTCAATTTTGCGTAGTACCGGTTTCTGGTCGTCTGTGTGCTACAACACCCACATACAGAGGAGGCTGTTTTCTCTTTCCTAGTGAGGAGAGTTAAGGTCTTCAGGTTTGGGAGGGAAGCCCCTGTGTCCATCAAGCCGTCTTTGTTGGGCCAATTTTTGACCTTGGTTTTTCTTTTTTCTTTTTAAAATTTTGTTTTTTATTTGAGATGTTTGCTCTGTGTAACAGTCTTGTCTGTCCTGGAACTCACTTTGTAGACCAGACTGGCTTTCAACTCCTAGAGACCTACCTGTCTCTGCCTCCCGAGTCCTGGGATTAAAAGGCATGAGTGACTTTGGTTTTTCGAAACAGGGTTTCTCTGGTTCTGGCTGTGCTGAAACTTGTTCTGAAGACCATGCTGGCCTTGAACTCAGAAATCTGCCTGCCTGCCTATTAAAGGCCCGTACCACCACCTCCTGGCATTTCTGACTATATAAACTGGGAAGTCTATTGTTACAGGTCTACATTGCGTTAAGTTTATTATTTAAACTTTCATGTGTATTGTACATGCCTGGTGCATGAGGAAATCCTAAGGTGTCACCCCCTGGAACTGAAATTAGAGACCAATGTGAGCCCCCATGTGGGGGTTGGGAATCGAGCATTGCTGCTTGGCTCAAGGTCACTGTGTGGCCCTGGCTGTCCACCTGCCTTTTTGAGGGCCAGAATTAAAGGTTTGCTCAATCCTGCCGACTTATTACTATTGTATTACTATTGATCCAGAAGGTGGGACCTGATGTACATTTGTTACAGATGAGAAATGGAGATGAGGGAAATGGATGTACATAAAGAATCAATGTTCTAGAGAGTGTGTTTGTCCCTTCTCCCTCAGGGTGTGGAATGGTCCCCTGTCTTCTGAAGTACTAGGGTCATCCCATGACTGAGTTGCACTCCTGGCTGGGCTGCATTTATGGTGTAAATTGTGTGTGTATTTTCAGGTATCTGGGACCAGTTGCTCATCAGCGCTAAGCCCCATCCCAGGAAGACCTCTACTGTTCAAACAGTTCGGATACAGAGGAGCCCTTGTAAGTACTGCCTTTCTACTCTAGGGGGCGCTCCCCCAGTTTAGTCCAATTAATCCCTTATCTGATGTTATAGACTGTCTACTTGGCTCATATCAGACCACAGAGTCAGATACTGCAAGTCTTGTATTGTGTAAATCCTTGTCTAAGGAGTAAGGTTTCTCATCGTAATCTCCTGCCTGAAGATTTTTCAGAATACATTCCTTTTTCTTTTTGAAACTGAAAGTACTGTTGGTGGCTGAGATGCAGTTGGAAGGCTGAGGCCAGAGATGGGCAGCATGTTGGAGATAAGTGGGAACAGTTAACAGGACTAATTGTTTGGAAAAGCACTATCACGTGCTCTGAAATATTAATATTAAATACGGTTTTGGGGAACACTATTGTCGTTTAACTGTTTGGCTTTGATACAGCCGGTGTAGCTCCTCTGAAGTCGGTTTTATAGAAGTGTCCTCAGAATTGAAGCATTCCCGCCTAAAAGAAAACATTTTCTTAAGTGGTGTAAGGCTCTTAAGATAAAGAAAGTAAACCAGGCGGTGGTGGCACATGCCTTTTATCCCAGCCTGGTCTGGAACTCAGTCTGTGGACCAGGCTGGCCTTGATTGAACTTGAGATCTTTCTGCCTCCTGAGTGCAGGGATTAAAGGTGTGCAACACCACCACCCAGAAGAATTCTTTGAGTCAGGGTCTCTAAGTTGTTCAGGTTGGCCCTGAACTCCCTCTATAGCCCAGGCAGAACTGGCGATCTTCCTCCTGCCACATGGTGTGGTGTGGGGGCCTTCACCGAAAGGCCCGGCTAGTTATTTACTCTTTCTTTCTTTTTTCTTTTTCTTTTTTTTTTGAGACAGGGTCTTGCACAGTCCAGGTTAGACTCAAACTTCACTGTGTAGAACGACCCTGGACTGCAGATTCTTCTACCTCTCCCAGTTCTAGGATTACAGTATCTAACTTTATTCTTTTCTCTGCTCCTGCACAACTCACTGTTCATCCTTGGCTGGTCTAGAACATTCTGTGTAGATCATGCTAGTCTCAAACTGGTAGCTATTTCTGCCTCTGCCTACACTGGTGTGGGCCACTACCCCTGGCAGTTACTTACTCTAGGAGGATGCTCAGAGCAAGAGTGCTTGCTGAGCAAACATGAGGAACAGAGTTCAAATCCCTAGAGCCCACTTAAACTGTGGCCACATGAGCCTGGAACCCCTATGCTGTGGGAGCAGAGGCAGAAGAGTCTTTAAGGGACTCTTAAAGTGGCCTGAAATTTACAAGCCAGCGTGTGTCATTTGCATTATCTCCCACTGACTAGCTCAGCAAGCTTTGACTACTTCATGGTTTTAACAGCCCTGAGGGTCAAAGTGCTTCCGCAGTCCTCCCACAAACTCATGGTGAGGTCTGGCTTAGCCGCTCCCCAGTTTCTGTCCTCATTAGGGTTTCTCTTGTGTGACGGACACCATGACCAAAGCCACCTGGGAAGGAAGGGGCCTTATGCTTCCAGAGCACTCTTCATCACCGGAGGAAGTCAGGACAAGCACTCAAGCAGGGCAGGGACCTAGAGGCAGGAGCTGATGCAGAGGCTGTGGTGGATGCTGCTTACTGGCTTGTTCCTCATGCTCTGGACCATCAACCCAGGATGGCACCATCCACAGTGGGCTGGGCCCTCCCCTGTTGGTTACTAATTAGGAAAAAGTCCTGCAACGGGATCTTCCAGAGGCATTTTCTCAGTTGCAGGTCCCGTCTCTCAGGTGACTCTAGCTGGTATCTAGGTGACTAAAGTAGCCAGCATGGTAGTGGAATTAGAAGCATTAATTAGAATTTTGAATTGCAAAGAGTGAAAACTTGGATCGCCTTAAGAGAAAGCTAGGAGAACTTGGCTTGTTTTTTGGCGTGAAAGAACCCAGAGTCAGAAGCTGAAAGTTTATCTGGATGGAGGTGCCCACGGTCCTCAACTGTGGTCCGTCTCTTGGCTCGGCTCTCTTGGTGTCGGATTGACCTAAAGATGGCTACCTCACAGCTGTGGTGAGTTGGCTGGTTTACGAGAAGTTCCAGGTCAACATTCATCACTTGGTTTTTCTGGTCTTCGGCTCCCACGTTGACTACTTCCTGTCTTGGCTAGGGCACCATGCCATCCTGTGCCACAGAGCAGATAGTAGGGGCAGACAACAGACTTGTTCAGGATGAGGAACAGTAATGACCCAAGCTGAAAAGAACGGGCAGCGCTCGGTGCTGTGCAGGATGATGGGAGGTTGGAAGCTAGCCCAACTTACGAACTTTGTGAATTCTAGCCTGGGCCACATAGCAAACCTATTTCTAAAAAGAAAGTGGCTGGTGTTACTGTGTTCAGCTGGAAGGCGGACAAATATTGGGCAGGGGATACACTCCTGGTAACTGAAATAGTCAGAAATAGACACGGGACACTTCTGTAAGGATCAGGCACACTTGGTTCAGTAGGTTATTCTGCCTGTTTTCTCAGTCCCTTGGTTAAAGGCCAACCTTCTAGAATTTATACTTTCACGGTGGAAGAGAAACATTACATTTGAATAATAATTGCTGAATCGTGTGGGCTTGTTGCTCGGGGAGTCCCAAAGGAGCTGGGACTGTGACTGGTTGGTAGAGCCCTTGGCCTGGCAAAAGGCCCTGGTTCAGTCCGCAGCCATCTCTGCTGACCCCTCGGACCCTCCCACCCGAGGCAGCTCAGAAGCTGGGCCCGAAGAGCTGATGGGTTCGTTGTTGCTCTCTGAAGTGGTCACCAGTTGTGGAGTCTATACTTCACTAACATGGCTGCATTCTGTGTTTGCGCTCCACAGTGTTAGACCAAGTGCAGGCGTTTCTCCCACAGCTGGCCCAGGCCAATGAAAAGCTTCGGAAGGAAATGGCAGTTGCTCCAGCAGATCGCTTCAATATTGAAAACACCGACGGGACATCCGGGAACATCATACAGATGGTAACTGTGCCCTGCGCTTCACGTGATGGAATTAGTGTACTTACCATGAAATGGGAAAGATAATTTGAAATTTTACTTTAAAATGTTATTTTTAAATTGTCGAACATTTCTCGTAGGCTGTGCTGTCTCTGTTGCCCTGTTTCAGGCACTGTTCAGTGCTGGGCACAGCATTATAGGTGGTTGTGAGCCACCACGTGGTTGCTGGGACTTGAACTTAGGAATGATGAGCATCCAGTTACCCTAACCTCTGAGCCATTTCTCCAGCCCCCATGTTACGATTCTAACAATGGCTGGGGGTCACTACAGCATGTGGAACTATAGTAAAGCTCGCAGCGTTAGGAAGGTTGAGAACCTCTGCTCTAGTCTGTTTTTATTGAGAGCATGGTGTTGGGTGTGTACTAGGCCGGAGGAATCTCTTTATTTATTTATTTTTTATTTTAATTTCATGTGCATTGGTGTCTTCCCGGTATGTCTTTCCGTATGAGTGTGTGATATCCCCTGGAGTTAAAGACAGTTGTGAGCCCGATGGTTGCTGGGAATTGAACCCAGGTCCTCTGAAAAAGCAGCCAGTGCACTGGAGCGCTGAGCCATCTCTCCTGCCCAGGACGAGCCTTTTTAACGATATAAGTAAAATAAATCCTTCAAACCGACACTGACTGCTCTGATGTCTTCTGGGAACCAGAAACATTGACGTGCCACTGGTGTTAATCTTACAGCCCGACCTGTGCTCAAGAGTCTATGATAAATATTAGTACTTTCTTCTTCTGCTTTTATTTAAGAATTACTATTTTTTGTGTGCATGTCAGTGTGTGTGTGTGTTACCTATGGGTGGCTGTGAGGGTCAGAAGAACTAGAAGAAAGGGTTAGATTTTCTGAAGCTTGGTAATGGGTGCTGGGAACTGGACTGAATCCTCTGGAAAATTAGTAAGCACCCTTATCCACTGAGCCAAACCTGCCACTTTATTAGAAAACGTGGCAGAACTGGCCTGAAGTAGAGTTCTCAACCTGACACTTCTTACAGGATGTGGCCTTATTTGAGATGAATCGGTCAGCTTCAAAGGAAGAGGACAGCTCAGAAGAGAGCTCCCCTGACAGCTCCACGGACGGCTCAGAGTCTGAAGACGAAGACTGCACCCCCTCCGAAGTCACAGTGGACAACATAAAGCTTCCGAGTGCAGAAGGTGGCAGAGGCAAGATTGAAGTGTTAGACAGCCCGGCAAGTAAGAAAAAGAAGCAGTGAGGTAGAGGAATGGAAGGAGGCAGGAGCCGCACCTGCGACCTGTGGGGGAGGGCGGCTCCCAAGGTGTGGTGCCTTCAGTGTCAAAAAGGAAAATTCACAAATTTGGGGGTGTTCTAAATAGAAAGTGTTCAGACTACAGGGAGGGTGGTGCCCTTGGAAACTGAGAAGGGAAATATGGAAGAAATAACTTGATTGGCTACGTGCAGACATTTGCCCAAGTTGGCATGGTCTGAACTGGGAGGTCTGTGACTCATTGAAGCTCATTTATGCTAAAATTGGGCTATTGGTTACAAAATTCCCACTTCTAAATTGGAGTTTGGTTGGTTTGTGAACCAAAGGCGGGTTACAGTTTGTTATATAGGAACTGGGTACTAGAACCAGTCCAGGATAATGACCCCCTGCCATTTAAGGTGTTCTTATTTTATCTTATTGAAAAAAACCAAAACTGCCTTTTAAATTTTGTAATGGGCAGCATTTGATTGACATCCTGTGAGGGTAGACTGACCTTTGCTCTTGCTGTGAAGAGGTTTAATGTTTACAAATATCTGCTATATCACTGTGTACATACATGTTGGTGTATGAGTTAATGTAAACATTGTCTTCAAACTGTAATGGCACCACAGCCTAAAAAATGACTCAGGTTCTGTTAGCGTTCTGTGTGGTGGTGACTTGGGTAGCTGTTCTGACTCAGCGGCATTGATTGTTTTATGAGGACTAGTGCTTGAGGTGAGAGGAGGAGGCGTCCTCCCTGGAGGCTACTTGAGTGTAGGACCCACCATGCCCCGGCTACCTGGAGGGTGTGGCAGCAGCTCTCACCTACTGTGGTGGCTTGACGTTCTGTGTGCTGATGCCTCCTCGGACCCTGTAAAGACAGGTTAGGGTATCAGCCCTGAACCCAGTTTCCCACCCTCCAGCTCTTAGTGCCTTCATTCACCTCCTTCTTCTCTTGTCCCTGAGCCTTAGAGATACTATATTCATTTCCCTTGAGAACTGAGCCATTGGGCTGCTGTACCATCCAGGAGCAGACAATTGTGGAGGCTTCCTCTGAAAGGGATCCAGGTTGTCAGAAGGGCACACTCCCCTGAGCCAGTGGTCAAAAGCATCCTACACGACCAAGTATTGTGTCTTAATTGGGTTCTCTGGTATCCAGTGACTGCACACACACATCCTGACCACAGCTGTGTGAATACCCAGTCTAGCCTGGTTTTCCAATTACAGATTTTTAAACTGAAGAGACATCTGATAGGTGTAGTTCTGAGTTGGGTAATAAACTTAGCCAGGACTTTGCTTATGTTGCAAACATAAAGCCCCTGCTTCGGGACGAAATACAGTAACTGGGTATTCCTGTGACTGACAGTGGCTTCACACCTTGGTGAGTTCCATGCTGCAGAGCCACAGTACAGGCGTAAAAGAGTAAAGCGTTCTTTTTACCATGTGCAGCAGAACAGAGATTGTATAGTTTTCAAACTGTAATGCTCCCCAACAAATGCTGGACTCTCTATTTGGGAAGCTTGTGCATAATTACAAAGGGAAGGCGTGTTGGAGGCTGATCCATTTCCCTTCGCATATTCGGTTACAGTTGTATCTCAGAAAGGTGGCAGGAACATCCTTAGGGATCGCCTACATTGTAAAGATGGGTGGGGAAGGTTGTCATAGAACTCGGCGGGTGGTCAGCGGCTGACCTGGGATGTCTAGGTTATAGGAGGTGACTGACAGCTCAGAGAGGCCTTGGAGTGGCTCTAGGTGTGTCGCTCTGCGCGGGAATAGAAAGCCCCACACATGTTCGGTTTGTTTACCTGGTACCCTTTTGCAACTTGAAGGAGGCAGCCACTACGCGCCCACCGGAAGTAGTGTCTCACTCCTTCTGGGCACAGTGGATCAGAATCATATAATGCCCATTTCAGTTCAGTTTCATTATGCCCAGAAGCATGGTCCATGGGACACCTACCTGACTAGGGAGTCCATCGTGTGCAGTAGTCTGTCGTCACGGTTTATAGTGGTTGCCGCCCAGTGCAGGAGGAGGCAGCAGCAGTCTGACTCCAGTGCACAAATATTCAGAGAGTGATTGTCTTAGTACTTCCCTATTTCTGTGAAGGGACACCATGACCAAGGCAACTTGTAAAACCGAGACTTGAGTTTCTTCCTGACAGTTTCAGAGGGTGAGTGTGAACCTCGTGGGGAGGGTGGTGGCGGGCAGAGCTCTCCTTAGCAGCTGCTTACATCTGTTTCACAAGCAGGAGGCAGAGAATGAGACTGGGCATGGCTGAGCTTCTAAAACTTCAAAGCCCACCCCTAGTGACACACCTTTTCCAACAAGCCCCACCTCCTAATCTTTCTTTAAAAGGTCCACCAACTAGGACCATTCTCACTTAAACCACCACGATAATTGGGTATGTGTTTAGCAAAGTGGCGGCAGTCTCTGTTTGGATGTACATTTCTGTTTCTGACCTGACGAGAGTTCTCACAGGGAGGGGCCTGGACATACAGCTGGAAGATGACTGTACCTGTGCTGATGGCACCACAGCTGAACCTACTGTTACCTATGTAACAAGCAGGTAGTGGGGTACTTGAGGTCCATAGCCAAATGAGGCTGTATGGCCTGAATGGCGCCCAATGATGCTGACAGCTAACCACTGAGGATGTACAGTGTACCCTGGTTTAGTCCCAGGTTGGAGTTCTAGTCCTGAAGGCAGGGCCTATGTTGTCGGTAGCAGTGGGTAGATAACCACTTTTCTCATCTACACACCCAGGTCTAGTGTGGGAACCTCTGGGATCCATCTCCCTGGCAAGCAATAACTAGGAAGGTAGATCACCCCTGAAATTGGAGTATTTATTTAACAACCTTGTGGTTGCTGGAAGCTCCATTTATGCACGCGTGGTGTCTTTCTTTAAACGTCAGCTGTCATTTAAGCATCCGAGCCATTTCTGTAGTCTGATTTTGTGATACCTTAGAGATTTGGCGAAAAGCCCTCCAACATTCCTTTTCGGATATGCAGATATCATTGTCAGTGAAGTGGACCCTGCTGGACCCACCTGCTTCAGGCTTTCCCTCTTTGGCTAGCAGTTGCTCCAGTATTATGGATATTGGGCTTAACACCCTGTCTGCCAGTGAAATGAAGCCCACTAAAACAGTTGAGGGAGGGGTAGGCCTTAGGGACCGGTTCTCTAAGGTAAACATCAGGGCACTGGGCACATAGTCATTTAAACTGTCTCACAAGAATCTAAGTTCATTCAAAGCTTGGGAGGGAGAGGGTTTTGTTGGGGGAGATGGGTGGGGGTTGGAGTGCAGATGATCAGGACGGATTGTTTACATGTATGAAACTGTCAAAAAATGAATAAATTATATTTTGAAAAAATTGTTTAAAGCATTTGGTGGCACATTCTTGTAGTTCTTACCCTCAGGCAGGAGACTGAGAATTTGAGGTCAGTCTGGGTTGAACATCAAGACCTGACCACCACCCCCCCACCCCCGTGTCCTAATGACACTTTCCCATCAGGTTATGCAGGGAAGGGCAGCTGGAAACGGCTGATGTGGGAAGTGGACCAGATCCAGAGCAGTCCATTGCCTCAAGGGCTGTGGGACTTCTCAGCGACAGTCACGTCAGTTACTATGTCTGTCAACAGAGCCACAGGCTTTCAAGTTAACATCATTCTTGCTATATTTGAATAAATTTGTCCTCCACCTTCCCCATCCTCAGTACCCTGATCTCGTGTGCCCGATCCTTCAAACTCCTTTCCGCTCCCTTGTCCTTTTGTCCCATCTGTCTGTCCTCACCACCGGTTATTAACTGGTTTCTTCCCGAGACTTTTAAGACCACACCAGTTTGCTTATGTTACACATTATAGATTGGGATCGCTACATGAGGGAAAATGGGTAGATTTTCTTTTTTCTGAGTCACTGTACTTAATATGCTTTTTAGATATGCCCATTTTTTGCAAATTTTTCATCTCCTTTTTCTTCACAACTAAAGTGCATGGATGTGCAAATGTCTATATATGGAGCCCTTTGGTCTAGACCCAGGAGTGGGATAGCTGGGTTGTGGTAGATCTGATTTTAAATTTTTGAAATACCTCCATGATTTCCATAATGGATAAATTTCATTTGAACTCTTCATCAGCAGTGAATGAGGATTTCTCTCTCCACAACTGTCCAGATTTCCTGATGGCCATTTTGACTGAGGTGTTACCTGAAAGTAGCTTAGGTTACACTTTTCCTGATGGCTAGGATAATGATCTCTCTCTCTCTCTCTCTCTCTCTCTCTCTCTCACGCACACATGCATACACAGGTTTCTCTGTAGCTCTGACTATCCTGGAACTCTGTAGACTAGACTGGTCTGGAACTCAGAGATCCAACTCCTCTGCATCCTGGATAGTGGGATCACCACTGCCCATCTGAACATTTCACAAAAAATACTTGGAGGACATGTGTTTCTGCTTTAAAGAACTCATTGTATTAGCCCATTCATTTGTCAGAATTGCTTTTAATTTGTTTTAGTTGTTTATAAATTCTATGTATTAGCCTTCTGAGTATACTTGGTAAAGATTTTCTCCCATTCTGTGGGCTATTGTTTTCGTTTGATATAAAGAACATTTAGTTTCATGTAGTTCCTGCTGTTTTTTTTTTATCAAGGCTGGTTTTTGTGGTTTTGGAATAACGCTGAGGAAGTTCTTCCATACACTAAACATACTAAAGACGTGTTTTCCTGTAGCAGCTTCAGGTTTTAAATTAAGGTCTTTGATTTGCTGTGAGTTGATTTCTTAATTACTTTTGGGCACAGGTCCTTCACTGTAGCTGAGGGTTATCTAGAGATAACTGTAGATTAGGCTGGCCGTGATCTCACATACACTCCGCTTTCTAAGTGCCGGGACTAAAGGCATGCATCACTGTACCTAGCCGTGTGTTAATTTTGTACAGGACGAAAGATGGGGGTGGAATGATCTGATGCGAGTGAGAAGAGTGCACAAGACGCGAACAAACTCTTAAGGACTTCATTAGAAGGGAACGTGCACACAGGCCTGGGAAACGGTGTACAGGGAGCAAAAATGGTGCGTCTAGCTTTTAAAAGCTGCCTAGCACATGCGCACGGGGTTGGTGTGACTGTCACATGCTGATGACACATGACTGGTGGCCCACGCCTAGCACGTGCACAGGGGGTTGGTATGACTACATCACGCTGATGACACACGACGGGCAACCCGTGCATGCGCACAAGGGTTTTGAGTCACACGTGGAGGTAACTGCACGTGCGCACGTGGGTCACACGCGCATGACCAAGGGTCCACCCACATGTGCATGCCTTTAGAACCTGGAAGTGCAGCCTTATGCATGGCTGAAGATTACAGGGAGTCTATTTTCATTCTTGGCAGGTGGATATCTAGTTTTCTAGCAGAATTTTGAATTGTTAATTAATGGCGAATCAATCCCACACCAGTTATGTTTTAAGGGGTTATTTAGTTTGGGGGGGTAAAACTTACATACACCATAAACCGTCAGGAAGGGAGCTTAGTCCCTGGAGCAGGAGCCGGGACCAAGCGCCGGAACCAAGAGGCCCGAGCCGAGATCTGTGGCTCTTTTTAAAAGAGAAATATACCACGCCCCAGTGGGCTGGTATTTCAGCGGCTATTGGCTGACGGAGCGGAAGACCCTCCCGCAGCACCGTGGGCTCATGCTTCAGCAACTATTGGCTGAAGCAGCGGAAGGTACTCCCGCAGCAGTTAATATGGTTGACCTTGCCAATAAATAATCGGGAGTCAGATTTAGGGGTAGGAATGTGAAAGATCAGAGAACAGAGCAACACTGGTTTCTGCCCTCCCTCCTTCCTAAAGAGGGGACTCCATTCTCTGCTGCTTTACCACTTCCTGTTTCGTGTGTACAGTCCTCCAAACCTGTGGTCAACTAGTGGCTAGATCCCCGCCCTCTGACTCCAAGGAAGCTTTGTCAGAACACAAAATATGTCACATATCCCCCTTTTTATCTAAATAAAAGTGAAGGTTTTCAGTAATGTAGAATAATCGATGCAATATATACAATAACTATTCAAGTATATAAGGCAAGAATTAATTCGCAATGTCCAATCCATTTGGATCCAACAAATTAAGATCAGATATTCTTATTTATTCTGTCGTGGTGAGTCCTTCCCAGGGTTCCTTTGTAGACCTAGAATATCACTTTTGTGAAGCAGGATTTTTGAAGGACAGTCCCACCTTGCTTCGGCAAAGTTTGGAAGTTGTTGTTCTCTGTCCTTCTTGTCCAGTTTGGACAAAAACTTTCAGCAGTCAAGGCACAGGCAGTTTCTTGCCTAGTGAGTAACTTTTGCCACAGAGTAAACTCCATAGGGAGTTGATAGGATCACCACCTTCTCTGCAGTAGATGGGTGCTGCAAGGAGCAGACGTGTCTCGTTGTCATAACATTTGTTGGATAAGCTTTTTGTATTGCTTGTTTCTGGTGCTTTCGTTATAAATGGCTATAACTTTGTCAGTTGTTTGTCAGGTCTTGTTTGATTGGTTTCCCTGTTTATGTCCCAATACCACACTGTCCTTGTCACTGTAACTGTGATACAATTTGTCATTTACTTCTTACCATGTCTGTAATTATTATACTTATAGCTTTCCCACTTTACCTACGCTACAGATTCCTCTTTTTTTTTTTTTAAACTCATTCAGAGGGATCTGTTTCATGTTCATTATACCTCCTCAAAGCACTAAATAGACTTCACAGATTCTTCATCCTGAAGCGTTTTAGAGTTGAGCTTTTACCTGCTTCTAACCAGGAATATTAAAGCTCACTGATTAATAGTGATTTCTTGTTTGTTGAAAGAACTATCAATTGGTAAGTCAGTACTTGAACTGACTAGAATCCACCTTCAGTTCCCCCTTACCATCAATATCTTACCTGCTCGCCAGCCTTCTGAGGGCCACCTCTCTGGGGTCCCTACTTCCTGATCTCGCTGTGGGCCTCCACCTGTAGCACCTGTGGGACAGCTTGCGAGTCGGGCCAGGCACTGGAGATTGAAGAGCGCTAGAGGCGTGGGTCGTTCGTGAGTAGAGAATGCCGTTTATTTGAACTTAGAGAAAGTGTTGTACACCTGACTGCTGCACAGTGGAAATTCCCCAGGCAGGCGAAGACGGAACAAACACCACCCCTGTAGATAACCACCAGGGTGGGCAGAGTGAGCGCAGAGGAGAAAAGAAGATGTTTTGCCAGAAACTGCAAGCTGTCCTCAATGAGGAGAGATCGGCCTGTGGGCCCTACAAAGAGACCGAGAGGTGTGTCTGCTGGGGAAGAAAGGCTGGAATTGCAAAAAGCTGCCGCACAGATCTGACTAATTATGGTGGCTTCTAGCAGTGGCAGGGATACACTACAAGGATTGGGAGTGAGGAAAAGAGTATTTTGAGGTGTGTGGGGAAGGGGCTGCTCAGCAAAAGGGAAAGTGCCACCAGGTGACGCCGGCAGAGCGTTTAAGAGATGGGTGGCTTAATAGTTTGAGAAACAGCGGAGCCAGTGGGACACTGGCAGAGCACTCACAGGTGAGGGGCTTGTAGTTTGAGGCTTTATATTCCGTAGCTGAAAACGTGAAAGCCTACGAAAACCGCGACACCGCAAGGCCTATAGGAGAATGTCTTCTTTATACAGACCTGGTGTTAATGAAGCCAACTGTCACCCGTTTGGATGACTTGAAGCCAGAGGCGAGAGGTGGCCCTGGATGCTCTCTCATTGCAGGGACCACTTAGGAGTGGTCTGAAAGGAGATAAAACAGGACAATCCAAAGCACCCTGGGGTCCACAGCAAAAGCACTGCTCAGTGTATGTGGGCTAACGCGGGACCACTACCCTGGGTTGTCCAATCACAGTTTTAGCTATGGCAATCAACTAGAGATGAATGTCAGCACAGGGCTTTACTGTACCAGTGAAGGCTGTGGTTGGGGCTGGTCCCCCCCTCCCCGTTTGTGGAAACACCATAGGATTGCTGGGAGCTCAACCTCAGTTCCTTGGGTCCAGAGAAACAGTTTAGCTGACTGGAAGGGAAAAACTCGCCACCAAAGCGGCAGGTGTGCATAGAGGTCAGCGCTCAGGTGACCCCCGGATTCCATGTGTCCTCATCTGGCCCACCTGTATTCGGGAAGGAATGTGGAGAGAGTCTGGCCGAGTCACAGAACTCCAATGTTATGGTTAAACGGCTCATTTCCCAGAGGCTCGCTGCAGGCCGCTGCTGGTGATTTAGGGAAGTGGTGGGTGGGACAGTTACACCAGCTGAAAGGCGGCTGCCTCAGACCAGGAAAGCCCCATCTCATCCAGATGTCTGTGGTGTGCCCTGGCGGGAGGCAAACTTTACAGTGCGTGGGGATTTGAAGCCAATCCGAGGTGTGTGAAGAGAAAATACAACGAACTGCAGCTGATTCTTGGCAAGAAAGGCCGCTGTGCTCTATTGAACTGCTGGCACCATGCACAGGACACAGGCTGCTGAGGAAGGGCTCGCCGCCAAGCTGGGCACACTCAGAGCTGGCTGGGGGATTCTATGATAAAATGTTGAGTGTGGCAAACATTCCACACCCGAGTCTGCATCACCACCCACCTGGTATGGACCGCGGCTCCATACCTTCCACGAGCTGAGGAAGGTCCTAGGGGCTAAAATAGAGACGCACACACATACAGAGAGTTCGAGTCATTCGCCAAGAGGAGAATGCCCATTTATTCAGCTTAATCCCGCGTTAAAATACCCTTTGGCCCCAGTAAAGGTAATCCCTCCCAGCCAGAAGGCGATGGGGAAGCTGGCGCCAAGTGAGCTTCTCCGCAGGCAGGTGGCCGAGGGGTGCAGGGCAGTGTCAGACAGGGCAGAGGGACCTTGGCACCTGGGCTCTCCCGGGCAGGTTGAGAAATTACCATTTCAAAGTAATAAAGAGCCCTAGGCTATTATACGGGGCTAGAGCAGAACAAGCACAGAACTAGCAGGAAGCTTAGCTGGTTGCCAAAACAGTCCTTGATTTGCACCTCGAGAGGCAGGGGAGAACCTGGAATCCCAGCAGTTGGGCACCAATTGATGCCGTGAAACAATCTCACACCAGTTCAGAATTAGGATAATGAAAGGGTTATTTAAGGGGGAAACGTACAGATTACCATCCTAAACTTCAGCACATCTGTCTGTTGAATGACTTTGTCTAAGCACTGTCTGCAGCCTAGAGCTTTTAGAAGTGGTAGCTCGCTACAGTGCTGGTTCGTGGCTGTTGTGATGGGCTAGATAGGAGGGCTTGAGTGGGGGGTGATGGGTGCTGGTGTTGTAGTGGGTTGCAGCTATGCTGCATGGACTGGAGCCAGGGCAAGCTGTAGTTGATCTCAGGTGGGGAGCTTTTAGAGGGACAGCCAGCTACAGTGATGGCACTTGACTGGTGGGGCAGTGCAGTGCCCAGGCAGGAGGGCTTGCATTGTGGGTACTAGTGTTGCAACGGGCACTGAATGCACTGGAGTGAGAATAAACTGCAGTTGGCCTCGTGCAGCAGGACTGAGGTCCCAGGGGGGTGTGCACTGGGTTAGCAATGCTGCTGCTGCATTGTGTGTACACGAATGGAGAATTAGAAGCTTTAGATTCCCTGTTCCGAGTGTGACAAATGAGTTTACTGTGGGGTGTGATTTCTTTCGACCCATACTACTGGGGGGAAAAGCCAGTGACCTGAGGCAGTTCTGAGAAATGGTCCTCTGACAGCTGCAGCATGGCAGTGTGTCACATGTCGGACATCATGAAGCATTTACACGTATCTATTACTGATCAGTCTTGGTAGTCAGTCAGGTATTGGGGTACACACCTGATAGGCTAAGAAAGCAACAGAGCATCAACCCTGGCTCCATCTTCCCAGATGGAAAAGGCTGTGAATCTCTGCAAGCCTTCCTCTGTTCTCTTCCTATACATCTCTGTCTGGGTCCTCTGCGAGTAACTCATGTGGACTGCCGTTGATTTAAGACTTAACTTTAGTAACCGTCTCAGCGTTGCTACTGTTCATTCGATGCACTGAGGACAAATCACACTGTACAAAAAACTCTCTTGTTGGAGGTTTAGTGTTGAAAAGGGGAGGGGGGGCTGGAGAGATGGCTCGGAGGTTAAAAGCACTGACTGCTCTTCTAGTGGTCTTGAGTTCAATTCCTAGCATCTACATGGTGGCTCACAAGCAGATGTAATGAGATTGGGTGCCCTCTTCTGATTTGAAGATATCCATGCAGGAAAAACCCTGTATACATAATAAAGATTTTTTTTTTAAAGGGAGGAAGTTGAAAGGGAGAGGAACTAAGGATTTTCTGCCTCTTTGGAGGAGTGGTGGAAAAGGGAAGGGGGAATGGGTGGAGCTCACTTTTAATGAGGACTAGGTGCATACCACAGACTACACTAATGTAGTATGTTTGAACAGACTGATGTAGTGGCAGTAGGACCTTGGACTGGCCAGGTATCTGCCTGAATGTTGACAATGCCTGTCCGAAGGGATGATGTCAGTGGCTATAGGTGTGTCCCATGGGGCACACTCGAATTATGCCTTAAATGCTAAGAACCACCTGTTTGTAGGGAGTGGTTTTGACTGGTAACATTCTGCTAGATCCACAAGCGCACAGGACAGCATAATTCTGACCGATAGCCTTCCTCCCTGTTGCTGGTTATAATTAGGTGAGGAAATTCGAGTCGCAGGTTAGGTGGAATGAGGGTGCCGAGTCCTGAAGACCCATTCTTGTCTTCTTAGGGCCTTGAGAAAGCTGAGATAGCTGGCTGTCTCACTCTGCTGTCCAGGCTTTGTGAGACCGTCCAGTGTCACTGGGACCTGGAAAGATGTTGAGAGCAGATGATAGAGTTAACTTTAGGGAGAAAAGTTTTCTTAGGTTCTGATAGTTGAGGAAGGGGAGTCCCAAGACCTGGGAAGAGGTGTGAAACTTGGTCTGTCAATTGCCAGTACTTACCTGGGGGTGCATCTTGAGATTGCATCTGACCTCTTTCAGGTGGATCTAAGTTGTCTCCCCAGAACTCAGAGGAGGGTTTTTTAGTTTACAAAAAGATAATCCTGTTTGATAATGGGATTCCCAATCCAGTCGAGTTCAGCATGGCTTTTGGGTGAAGCTCATTGTTCCAGAAATCGGGACAGCAGTTGATTTCAGAATCCTCTGAAAGTTAATGAATGATGGAGTCTGCTAGATTATGCAGTAGATTATAGCTGAGATTTAGAAGGGGGGACAGTCACATATGGTTTCGGGACTCTCCAGAGAGAACATCATCTTTGAGAGCCTTCTGACCTTTGACTTCCAAAAGCATTCAAGGACTGATCTGAAAGTGTACTGAAATCATGGACCCAAGTCTGAGCATCAAGAAGGTCACAAAACCAAAAATTGGAATCTTGTTAAAGAAAAAAAAACTAACCCGGCTTTTCTCTTGTGGAGCTTACTTCCTTGGGCCCAAATTGGTCATCAAAAGAACATATAATCAAATAAAAAATGTAGTACCGACCTAAACAGAGAACTCTGAACAGAAGAATCTAAAATGGTTGAAAGACAGTTAAGGAAATGTTCAACATCCTTAGCCATCAGAGAAATGCAAACCAAAACAGCTCTGTGATTCCATCTTATACCTGTAAGAATGGCCAAGATCAAAAACACAGATGACAACTTATGCTGGAGAGGCTGTGGGGAAAAGGGAACACTTTTGCATTGCAGGTGGGAATGCAAGCTGGTGCAGCCCTTTTGGATGTCAGTGTGGCAATTTCTCAGGAAATTAGGAAACAGCCTACCTCAAGACCCAGTAATATCACTTTTGGGTATATATCCAAAGGATGCTCAATTGTGCCACGAGGACATCTGCTCAACTATGTTCACAGCAGCATTGTTTGTCATAGCCAGAACTTGGAAAAAACCTAAATGCCCTTCAATTGAATGAGTAAGAAAAATGTGATACATTTACACAGTGGAGTACTACACAGTAGAAAAAAATAACGACATCTTGAATTTTGCAGGAAAATGGATAGAGCTAGAAAACATTCTTTTGAGTGAGGTGACCCAGACACAGAAAGACATTTATCACATGTATTCACTCATAGGTGATTTTAAACATGAAGAAAACCAGCCTATAAACCACAATCCCAGAGAGCTTAGACAACAGTGAGGGCACTAAGAGAGAAATACATAGATCTAATCTACATGGGAAGTAGAAAAAGACAAGGTGTCCTGAATAAATTGGGAGCATTGGGGACCTTGGAGGATTGAAGATGGGGGAGGGGAGCAGGGAAAAATTTAGAGCTCAATAATAATCAATAAAAAAAACCCAGCCAACCACACACCTCCCGAGACAACACTGGGAACGATTCAGTGGGCGCAGAGTGCGTGGAGGATAGAGGAGGAAAGTGAAACCAAAGAAACAAGCCCAGCAGAAAAACCAGGCGCTGAGTCCCAAGAAGCCGGTCAAAAAACCGTTAATGGACACTCTGTGGGCAAAATTTCCATGAAGAAAAAGCCCTCCATTGCAAAGCTGTTTCTCACTGTCATTTGAATCTAGCATGTCAGAGAAGCAGACCTTCCAGTGCTTCTGTGAGAAAAGGAAAAGGTACAGGGAAAGGAAGAGGGATAGGGCTCTGCAGACCTGAGGGAAGAGCGCACGGGAGTAATGATGTCATGTCTGATGTCATAGAGACCAGTGAGCCTAGTTAGAATTAGCCAAAGGGCCTGGCGGTGGTGGTGCACACATTTAATTCCACCACTGAGGGAGGCAGAGGCAGGTGGATTTCTGTGAGTTCAAGTCTAACCTAGACTACAGAGTGAGTTCCAGGAAGGTTCCTGATCTCGGGTGGGGGGGATTTGACCCTCAATTGGTGATGATGAAGCAGTCACTATGCTCCAGTTACCAATTCAGCAGACCAGATACTGAGCACTCCTTCCCAGACCAAGGGAGGACTCTCACCGCCTGAAAGTCGGCAAAGATCTTCACCATGCCTGTCTCCAGAAGTGGAAGCCAATTTCACCCCTTGTTACTTAGTAGTGGTGTCAAAAACTGAAATACAACCAAGTCCCCAAATGGAGTCACCTAGGCAGAGTTGGTTTGCCCTGCAGCAGCCAGACCAGAGCCATCAAGTATGTGGACTCCTCCCTGGAGTCACAATGGACGATGTAATACCAGGTGCCATGTCACTCATGTCTAGGTGGAGCAAAAGGAGGCTGCCCTGAGCCTCCCAGAAGAAAAGATCTTCCAAGCCAAGAATGTAAGATGACAGCATGCCCTGCCTGCTCTTTATCCTTCCACAGTGTTGCAAACCCAGGAGGGACTATTCCTTGGGGCACCTGGGACTGCTTTTCCCAGCATTGATTGCTCTGAATAAGGAAGCTCAGCTGCTGGGTGATAGTGTGATTTGACCATGAAGGAACAAGTCCCAAGTGACCGAGTCTGACTTTGTACTATTTTTACTCAAATTCTAAAGCTTTTTGCTTTTACTTCAAACATGAATAATACTATTGTCCCGCGCTACCATCTCGCCCGCAAGAACGACGCGGGACACTTAGGATCCTTCTGCAGAAAAGCTTTAATGCGTCTTGAGAGGGAGAGCATAAGCTTACATGGCGGAGACCCAGAATGAGGGGAACCCAGCCCTTATAAAGGAAACAGTCCTCGCTTCTGACGTGTCACTCTTGGATTGGTCCGCTGCCCATTATCCCAGATGATGCCTCGGAAGTAGGCAGGGACGCAGCAGTAGTAAGTTACCAAGCACATGCGCTGGGATTAAAGGCGTGTGCTACAACATCTTGAACTCATAGAGATCTGCCTGTCTCTGCCTCCCAGGCATTGGGACCAAAGGCGTATACTACCACACCTTGAGGTCACAGAGGTCAATCTGCCTCTGCCTCCCAGGCCTCAGGACTAAAGGCGTGTACCATCACATCTTAAGGTCATAGAGGTCAATCTCTACCTTTGTCCCTTAAAACAATAAAAAATATGGTTGCGGCCCTCCACATACTATATTCATTTGTTTGTTTAAAAAATTTAGAAGGGTGACCCTTGTGTAATGCAAGTGTCTGTTGGGGGACTGTGCTCACACAGCACGGCCTGTGAGGGATATCATTGAGTTTTAAACTGTTTTAAAACAGTTGCTAACAAATTTCATTAGAGTGGTTAAAAACAGTATTTTGACACTTGGAGCGGATTTGGTTGGTCAAAAGCTCAGGGGGGACCGAGAACTTTCCTGAACCGTGTGCCGCAAGGTTACTAGCTAAAGCTGGGGCCAGTGGATCCTGTCACTTGCGGATTAGAGTCAGGAGTGCAAGCCTATGTTCTAGACGCAGGCTTAGAGCTCTCTGGGTTAGAGCTTGGCCTGATCCGAGCAGGCCTGGTGGTAGCTGAACCTAAACAACAGATCCTTGGTTGGGTGGCGATAATGGTCCTCAGTGGAATACAGGCCAGAGTAGCCTCAGAGGATTGTGTGGTTGTCTGTGATGGCGTATGAGAGGTGGGGTCCTGCAGCAGGGAGGGCACACCAGTAGCTGGACTTTGTCCATGTGGGCACTAACGTACAGGCATGTTAAAGCGGTCCACAATGGAGCATGTGAAAGGTTTGTTTATTTGGGAATTAAACTCACAGTAAGGACAGAAATCTGCTATTCTCTGTTTGCACTGGAAGCTTGAAACCAAAGCCAACTAAAAGATCTATTCATACTTTTTATGTGTTCTTACAGTACCTCAGATCATGCCCCCAAAGGGCCAGAGGTACGAACTTTACCCAATTGAGGTACAGTTCCTGTGACATTTTAGGGTGTTTTTAAAGGAGCGGTTAGTTCGTTCTGTCTTTCTTTATGACTGGGATGGTATTGGATGTGAAAATGGTAAGGAATGTGCCGCACCCGTGTTGGCTGGAACCACAAGTCTTTGGCGGAGGGTGTCCAGGTTGAATGAATCCACAGAGCACGAAGTTGAGGCGGAACAGCTTCTTTATTGTTCTACTGGGGCTAGCTTTTATACCACGGCACCAAATGAGGAGGGGTCTGCGAAGGGACTGTCACCTGACCCAAGCGGACTGTTACCTGACTCCAGCATGGATCAATGATCACGTGCACTCAAACTTCCTTACTCAACTCCAGGAGCAGAGGAAAGTTAGGATTTCTTTGCAGATAAGCACCTCAAATGGGGGCAGGGAAATGTAACTCGGGGCTACAATTCCCACAGCAATGCTGCTATTTTACATAAGGTTTGAGAAATTAGGGAGTTGAATTTAGGACCATTGTCTGACTGGAGGGAGGTAGATATTCCAAATTAGGGAGGAATCTCCCACAGAAGGAGCTCAAATAGTGACTTGTTGCTTCCTACTGGTCCTGCGCCCAGTCCCGGGAGTGCAAAGACATAGAGACAATGACAGAGACTCCGGGAGATCTCAATTCAGAAGCTACTTATTACAGTTGAGCAAGGCCAGTTAGGCTGCCAGAAGGACATTGTTGGTTGGTCCTTTTCAGTACTGGTTGTGTTCTAGTTGGCTTACGCTGTTGCGCATTTGGTTTCTTTGTAAGTGACTCACTATCAGGATACTGAGGCCCAAGCTGCTTGTTCCTGTGTGTTTGCATGCACTTGCTTGCGCTTGCACTGTTACTCAACCTGGTCTCACCATTTTGATGTTGCCTGGAGGCCTGGTAGGACTCGTTACCTTGCTGTGCTGTGTTTCCGCCTGGGAAACACATCAGAATTTTGGATTATGCCTGTCTTAGGTTGACCAGCTCTTAGCCGTCATTGATTCTAGCACTAGAAGGCTTAGGTCCCCAGGAGGTCCTCACAAAATGAAGCAGAGACATACTACGAGGTTTAGGGTCTCTTATAGACTCCTGTATTTGTATTATCCACTCATGGACCACCTCTCTTGGATGTTTTGGCCCTGTGTGCTCTAAAGCCATTGGTATTTGAAGGGTTGCCTTGTTTTTTGTTGTCGTGATCTTACTGTAGGAGACACTCAAGCAGAAGCATTAGGGCCCCCACCACCCCTTTCATAAGGCACCATGCAACAAGTTTAGACGAGTCTAACAGGAATTTTTATGTGAGTGCACATTTGAAGAAATGACATGGCACACAAACCCAACGGCTCAACTCATGTCTAGTTAAGTTGCACGATGTCACTTGTAAGTGTTCACATCAGTCTAATAAACTTAGATGCCATGGTTCCAATTGGCTGTCTCGTAATGGTCGTCTGTACAAGGACATAATGGATGTTTGATGTGGACTTAAACTGAAAGACTGAAATGATGGTCACTGTTGGCCCTCACTAGGTAACGCAATATTTGTAATTCTTCATTCAGTAAATCAGTCTGTTGTTTTAAATTCATAATAGACGTATGAACGCGAGCATTAACTAACTGTTGTGTACTGAGGGCCACAGGTAATGTTCTATGGGCTGTTTCTACTGCATTAACCATGGCTCCTGTCTGAATAAGAGAGGGCAGGATGATCGCTAATGTAGTTGCTTTGGGCATGACTCTGTTTTTGGTTGCACGTAGCCCAAGCTCTTTCCTGATGGCACTATGGGAC